GATTCAAAATCTTACTTCTAACATACAAAGCTCTCAACAACCTAGCTCCATCTTACATTTAAGATCTTATTCTTCTAAAGTTTCCAAACAGAACACTTTTCTCTCAGAGTTTACTTGTGGCTCCTAGAGATTCCCAAAAGCAGAATGGGAGGCAGAGCATAGAGTTATCAGGCTCCTCTCTTGTGGAACCAACTTCCAGTTTCTGACCGTGAGGCTGACACCTTGTCTACTTTTAAGATTAGGCTCAAGTCTTTCCTTTTTGTTAAATCCTATAGTTAGTGTTGGCTTGGGTTTCCTGAGCGATCCTTTAGTTATGCTGCTATAGGCTTAGACTGCTTGAGGACAAACTGACCACAAGTCCTCACTCTGCTGCTGTCTTTACTCACTCTACAATCAATCTCAGGTATTTTTTATAATTTAAAATGGTTATAAATTGACCTTGGTTTTTAAATGTAATGAGTCATTTATGGTTTACCTTTCTTATGCTTCACTCTCCACCGTCAGTTTTCATTCATTACGTCTTTGCAGTTTTGTTTTGCAATTCTAATATTTGCCTGATAAATTCACCTGCACATGAAACTGTACCAAAGGTCGTGGTCAAGCATTAGACATGAGCCAAAACTTGATTTCAAAAAGAAAACCTACTCACATCTTACGACTCCCAAAAAGTGACACGACCTCGTCTTATAAAATAGTTTGTTGAGGTTACGCAATGGCCTCAAAGTTGTTACTGTATGTGCTGTGCAGTCGTAACTTGCAGAGCCACTCGGGTTTGTTTGATCAGTTTTCATCTGCAGCTCTGTTTGGCACACCCTGCTGTCATATGTACTCTACAGGAATTCCTCCTGCAGCGCTGATTGATGCTCCTTTTGATTGATTGCATCACTCACTGAGCGAATTAGGCCCTCCCCTGTGGACAGCTGACAGCACTCTCGCATCGCTCCGAGCTCGTGATTAAGTCAAGGGGAGTTAGCTGCAGCGCTACACACAGACAATACATGCACAGTCTAAAGGTGCACAAAGACACTCAAGTGCAAGTGACATGCAGACTGAGTCAGGGGAAACAGGTACATCAGTGAAACTTTGCGTGGTTAGCTGTTGAGTCGAAGGTAAATCTCACCCACCGTTGTTTTCTAATCACGTCCACGAGGTTAAAACCAGGTGAGAAAGAAACAAACTGAAACCCATTGATGCATGTCCCCTCTGAAACATGCTATATTTGTAAATCACAATGCTGTGCATCACATGAAATGACAAGTTTGTCACATGCTGCTCAATACGGGGGCAGGAAATGTAAAATTAGTTCATAAAAACCCACTTTCAGAAGCTATTTATTGGCATGCAATAAAAAAAAATATATATTAATAGACACAATGTGTAACAGAACAAAATAGATTCAAAAAGTCATATTATCTTAGTCCTTTTCATTTTGTTTCAAACAGCAACATAGTCTTTAATAAGCCATCTATTTATCATGACTGGATACAGAGGAGCGTCTCACCTGCCTCTGCTTCATGGACACCACCACTGTCTCCAAACACAAAGCCCAAGTCAAACTCCTGCTCTTCAGCCTGGAAACTCATTTCTGCCTCACCAGCATGCAACAGCTGTATGGCTCTGTCCGGTCCTCTCTGGTGCTTCTCTCTTCTGCTTTGAGCAGATGATAATCTCCTGTCCCACTCCACCCATCGTGACACACCTCCTGATGTCAGGCCTGACTGCCTTCGGTTAGATTTGTAGCTAATTTTTTAACACGTTTTTTACACATCCGCGTGTTTGTCGATGAGCGCAGCTGCAACAAACTTCTTCTAACACCCACTCATCACGTTGAGGCTTTCACTTTTGCACTCTGCACGATTTTCAAACGTGGGGTTTCTGGGTTGCACATCGTGCCCTCTGAACCAACAGAATGAAACAGGCTCCCAGTTTGTGGGGTTCAAAGAACTGGTAAATTGAAGCACATTTGAACACCAAGCTTCTCGGCTTGTCCTCACTGACTGTTGCACAGAGCGTGCTCTTCCTGTCCTCAGATGCTTTTCCTAATTGTGTTATCATGATGAAAACATTCTCTGTCCACAACACTAAGGAATGGAGGGCTTTAGAAACAGGGGTTGTGGTCTGGGCTGGGATCACGTTAACAGGACCTCAGAGGGACAGATGTGGTCCAACACAGAAGTCATCTGAAGCTGAACTAAAACTTTGGGATGGCTTACAGTGTGTGTGTGTGTGTGTGCGTTTTGTTCTCGTCCTGACATCTAAGTTCACGTGTGATCACAGCACTCGACACACTGCTGAATCTGTGTGTGGTTAGGCACGACTCCCTCTCAAGTTGGCTACTCGACATCCCAGAAGATCACAGCTCTCGCTCGCTCCTGTTCTCAAACACACTCACGAGCCTGCAACCAATTACGAGGCTTAGTTACCGAGGGGCTGAAATGAATAATGGGCCTGCACCCGTTTGTCTGGAAGCTCAAAGATGAAATAAAACCCCACACAAAGCCAGTGGACTCAGCGCGACGGGTGAAGTCAAAAGAAGACAGACAGCTGATGAACCAAATAAAGGTTTACTACTATAAATGCAATAGAAAGGCACAAAATAAAGGCTTTTTGAAGCATCCTTCATAGAAAAATCTAAAATAAGCTCAGGCTCTTCTGCAATTCCTGAAATGATATTTATATAATTTCATTATGGTGGCTTTTGAAATGAGTCATTTGGCATAAATAAAGGAAAACATGCAGTTGTGGAGTTGAGTGTGACCCCCTCCCAATACATCTTTAACTGCACATGCAGAGAGGCACCTGCACACCCAGCAGGAGGAGATGAAACAAAGGTGCACGTCAATCACTGCGCGTGAACTTCAGATTATTCTGCAGAGTTCAAAATGTCAAAGCCACAAGTGTCAACTGTAATTTTTTTGTTTTTCTTTTTAAAAATCAGCTGTGGTGGGAAAAGGTGTCTTAAATGTCATTTTATACAAATCGTTAAAAAAATATATCTTTTAGAAGAAATGAATGTAAACTTTCATTAAGCTGCCAGCCAGTCTGCATGATGCGCTGCAGCTGCATCTCTAACCAGCACATGACGCACGCATGTTAGTGATGACAGGGATGAGGCTGCTGTACCTTCCTCTGCAGACTTCATGTCGGCGGTGAGAGACGTGAGAAGTCCTCGCGCACTCCCGGCTCTCGCTCCAAAGCTGAACTTGGCTCTGACGCTCAACGTGTCCTGCATTCAACAAGCTGCGCTACTGTCCCCAAAGCGTGCGTCGTCCTCAGCTGAAGGTGTCCACCTGGTGCACGTGCGCCACAGAGTGAGTGTTTTAAAAAGCCGCTCTGACTCCTGGAGGACGATGCGCGTCACGTTCAGCAGAGAGAAGGGGCGCAGGAGGAGCGCGAGGAGAGGAGCGCGAGGAGAGGAGCGCGCAGCGAGCTTCGCCTCGGAGCGGTCTTTCTTTTCGTTTATTTGTTTATTCTTTGTTTGTTTGTTTGTCTTTCGGTCTCCCCGGGTCGATGACGCAGCGCGGTTTGTTGGAGGAGCCGGCTCCGGTGCTTTTAAAGCTGGAAAACACCCTCCGCCCCCCCTCCACCTCCGGTGCGTGCGCCGCCCATCAGAGATGACGAGACCGGCTTCTGCAACCTCCTAGACCGCCGGATGATGTCTTCCACCCTGGGATCCCTTCAGAGGAGGCGGGAGGTGTGTGTGTGTGTGGTGGTGTGTGTGTGTGTGTGTGTGTGTGGGGGGGGGGGGGGGTGCGCGCGCTCGCTCGTGTGTACTGGCGCTTCTAGCTGGAAAGATGCCCTGGGCGATCCCCTTGGACACACTTGTGTGCACAATAATAATAATAATAATAAGTTTGTTATATTATTAAGTTAAGGATCTATAATAAATTGTTGGTATTTGTTTATTTACATGTTTACATAAAAATATAAATATATAAGCAGCCCACTTAGAAAAACATATTCCATCCATTCATTATTTTTACCCGCTTCTTCCTACTGGTGCTACTGGTACCCATATCCAGCTATCACTGTGTGAGAGGCGGGAGACACCATGGACAGGTCTCCAGTCCATCACAGGGACTCGGAGACAACGAGACAAACAACCATTCACTCTCTCACTCACACCTAGAGACAATTCAGTTACCAGTCAGTCTAACATGCATGTTTTTGGTCTGTGGGAGGAAACTGGAGTACCTGGAGAAAACACACAAACAAAGAGAGAACATGCAAACTTCAACCAGAAAGGCCCCTGGTCAGGATTTGATCCGGCGACCTTCTCGGTGAGAGGCAGCAGCTCCACCAACCGCCCTCCGTGCCACCCCCATATGTTCATCCTAAGGAAATACAGCAGGGGTGTTCAATTAAAACTCACTGAGGTTCAGTTACTAAAATTTCCTCCCAGTAAAAGCTCCAAACGAAAGTTCAGCATTTGTCTTTTCTTGCCTACCCAGTTCACATTTTCACTGTTAACAAACTGCACCATAATAAACAACTCTTTTACCAGAATTAAAAGTGGTCCCAGGCAAATAAATGTAGGTTCTTTATTTCAGATTAAAACAGAAATCTCAGAATAAAAAACATCTTAAATGTGCAAACAGAACCTAATAAGACTTTTTCTCTTAAACTGAAGAGGTCCAACAATTGAAGGCTTACACTTGAAGTAAAAAGTTAACATCTTTAGAAAACAATTTAAAAAGTGTCTCTTTTAGTGTAAGTGTAAACAGAGCAAGTAAAGATTTCTCTCTCTTTTTTTTTTTTTTTTGCTTAAAGAGACACCGACCTATAAACTTTTAAGTTTTCAAGTAAAACATGTCAGCATCTTCAGAAAACAATGAATAAAAATGTCTCTTTTAGGAAAAAAAAACTGAAAACAGAACATTTAACATCTTTTTTCTTTTGATTATTTATTGAACTTTTCTTAATGAGAGAAATGGACGTGGGATTGTCCTGCCAAGTAATTTCAATTTTGTTTGGAGTCAGAGTCATTCTCATGCAGACATGTAGGAAGCTGAGCATCATCAGTAACATCTGTAGACTCACTGATGACTCTGAACAGCTGCATCCAGCTGTGCCAGGACATCAATTAAATTCAATTCAATTCAGTTTATTTATATACCGCCAAATCACAACAAAGTTGTCTCAGGGCACTTTACAGGAACATTCACATAAAAGCCAATTAGTAAAGTTCTCTATCTAAGGAATCCAGCAGACAAGATGAATCTTGGCTTCATTGCAGTCTCCCATCCTGAGCAAGCACAGTGGCAACAGTGGAAAGGAAAAACTCCCTTTTAAAAGGAAGAAACCTCCAGCAGAACCAGGCTCAGGACAAGCAGCCATCTGCTTTGACCGGCTGGTTGAGAGGACAGGAAGGAGAGACAGACAAACATAGAATGGTAGGTCCAGGTGTATCTGAAAGACAAAAAAACACATGTTAAGGACAGAAAAAATAATTACAAATACAAAACAGGTAGAGCAGAGTAAGTAAAGACTAGTAGAGTTAAGAAAATATGGAACAATAAGATCTCAAATATAAGATGGAGCTAGGTTGTTGAGGGCTTTGTAGGTTAGAAGAAAGATTTTGAATTATATTCTGGATTTGACAGGGAGCCAATGGAGAGAAGCTAAAACTGGAGAAATATGATCTCTCCTACTAACTCCAGTTAAGACTCTGGCAGCAGCATTTTGAATCAACTGAAGACGTTTTAAAGATGTATTTGAACACCCAGATAATAAACCATTGCAATAGTCCAGTCTAGACGTGACAAATGCATGGACCAGTTTTTCTGCATCATTTTTAGATAAGATGTTTCTAATTTTAGTGATATTACGCAGGTGGAAGAAGGCAGTTCTAGTAATGTTTTTAATGTGGGGGATAAAAGACATCCATCCATCCATCCATTATCTTTACCCGTTTATTCCATTTTGGGTCACGGGGGTCGCTGGTGCCCATGTCCAGCAGTCACTGTGCGAGGGGCGGGGTACACCCTGGACGGGTCGCAAGTCCATCACAGGGCCACATAGAGACAAACGACACAAACAACCATTCACTCTCTCACTCACACCTAGGGAAAATTTAGAGTTACCAATCAGCCTAACATGCATGTTTTTGGTCTGTGGGAGGAAACCGGAGTACCCGGAGAAAACCCACGCATGCACGGAGAGAACATGCAAACTCCACCCAGAAAGGCCCCTGGACCGGGGTTTGAACCAGGGACCTTCTCGCTGAGAGGCAGCAGCTCTACCAGTTGCGCCACCGTGCTGCCCACGGATAAAAGACATGTCCTGATCAAAAATAACACCAAGATTTTTAACATTAGAGCTGGAGGACAGATTAATTCCATCTAAGGAGGGAGAAAGACTGAAAAATTCATTCCTAAGGTGCTCAGGTCCAAAAACCAAAACCTCAGTCTTGTCTGTGTTCAACAAGAAAAAATTAAGGGTCATCCAGGTTTTTATGTCTTTAAGACATGCTTGTAGTCTAAGTAGCTGATTGGATTCATTGGGTTTAATGGACAAATATAATTGTGTGTCATCAGCATAACAATGGAAATTTTTCCCATGCTGTTTGATAACTTTACCTAATGGAAGCATATATAAAGTAAAGAGTATTGGCCCAAGCACTGAGCCCTGAGGAACTCCATGACTAACTTTGGTGTATGAAGAAGATTTATTATTTACATTTACAAACTGGAATCTATCAGATAGATATGATTTAAACCATTTTATAGCCGTTCCTGTAATCCCAATATCATATTCAAGCTTCTGTAGTAAAATATTATGATCAACTGTATCAAATGCAGCTCTGAGGTCTAACAGGACCAGTATAGACACAAGTCCATTGTCTGAGGCCATGAGAATATCATTAGTGACTTTTACTAATGCTGTTTCTGTGCTATGATGAGCTCTAAACCCTGACTGAAACTCTTCAAACAGATTATTTCTTTGTAGATGTTCACGCAACTGACCTGCAACTATTTTCTCTAGAATTTTTGAGATGAAAGTTAGATTAGATATAGGTCTATAGTTGGCCAGAATTTCTGAATCAAGGTCAGACTTCTTAAGTAAAGGTTTAATTACAGCAACCTTAAAGCGCTGTGGTACATAACCATCCATTAAAGACAAATTAAGTAGATCCAAAACGTGGACATTAATTAGGGGGAATACCTCTTTAAACAATCTGGTTGGGAAGGGATCTAGCAGGCATGTGGATGGTTTGGATGAGGTTATTATTTTTGACAATTCAGAGAGGTCAACAGGACAAAAACTGTCCAAACATAAATCAGGCTCTAATGAAATTTTTAAAGTTGCCTCATTTGACGGGACTAGAGATAGTAGAAGGAAGGATGGTTTGAATTCTCTCTCTAATTGAAATAATTTTATTTATAAAGAATCTCATGACGTCATCACTACTTATAGTTGTAGGGATACATGGTTCTACAGAAATGGGACTTTTAATTAGTCTAGCAATATTACTAAACAGAAACCTAGGGTAATTTTATTCTCCTCTATTAAAGATGAGTAATATAAAGTTCTAGCATTACGGAGAGCTTTTTTATATGTTAGCAGACTATCTTTCCAAGTTAAATAAAATTCTTCAACATTAGTAGAGCGCAATTTTCTCTCCTGGTTTCTAGATGCCTGCTTTAAAGTACGTAACTCAGAAATGAACCAAGGAGCCAGTTTCCTCTGATTGATTACTTTCTTTTTCAGTGCAGCAATTTTATCAAGTGAAGTTTGCATTGAAGTTGTAAAATGATCAACTAGATGATCTAAGTCTCTGTTCTCTGATGCATTACTCTGCAAGACAGAGGAAAACATTGATGGAAGAGACTGTTTAAATTTGGTTACAGCATTTTCTGATAAGCACCTGCTGAGATGAAATTTACTCTCAGTGACTGTGTAGTAATTTAATGTAAACTCAAAGGTTATTAAAAAATGGTCGGACAGAAAAGGATTTTTAGGAACTATTACCAAGTCCTTAATCTCTACACCATAGGTCAGAACTAAATCAAGAGTGTGATGATAAGAATGAGTAGATGTGCAGACATTTTGGGTAAAACCAAATGAGTCTATTAAATTATTAAAGGCTATGCTTAAGCTATTACTCTCAACATCCACATGAATATTGAAATCACCCATTATGATGATTTTATCAGTATTTAATAGTAAGTCAGTTAATAATTCTGAGAATTCAGACAAAAACTGAGAGTAAGCGCCTGGTGGACGATATATAACAACTAGTAAAAGTGGCTTTTCTGAT